CAATGTATACAAACATCTTCTTTGATTAATCAAAAGATTCCTTTATTATGTAATTTCATGTTTTAAGAAAGTGAAGTCCACGGCTTGGTTCGGTAAGCAATTCTATAAAAGGTATTTTTTGCAAGAAAATGAATTATCTAATAGATTACTTCAAAACCCCACAATTTTGCCAGTTTTGATATACTTTAAACTCTTGGAACAAAGCTTTTTGTTTGTTTTTTCCTTTTTCTATATGAATAAAAGGTAATAAGATACAAATACAAATAGATCACGCATAGATCTATATTTGTTAATGATGTATATTTATGTACAATAAATAGGTGTTTTTTCATGATCGGGCAAATTAAAGTAGATGGGATATTAAGTTCTGCATACTAAATAGATTATTTATATGTTTATTTAAAGTGGAGTTCCATAAACAGCAATTCCATGAATACAAGCAAGTAATAGGGTTCTCACTATATTTAGAGTTATAGCATAATCTAAATGGGAATAAGTATAACTTAGTTCAAGTTTGTATTTATTGCTTTAGGCTGGATTGGTGCAAGTTCTCTATTCCTATTACAATACTTTGCCCAATCTTTTGCATTGTGTGAAATCATATAATTAAATTGATCTTAAACTATCTTCTTTCTTAATGACTTGTTCCAACCAAAGGCTTGGATCTATATATAAAGGGAAACAAAATAATTTAAGTCCAACGCTTTTAAAACTCCTTTATCAAACTATATTAATTGCTTACTTTGGTTATTTGACTACTAATTTTCTTCACCAAAATAAAAAGTCTAACCTAAAGATGGTTTCTTAACCGTAGAATTTAACGATCCAGATTTCTTTGTTTGCTAAATGAATGATAACTCCCATACACTCTCAGACAATTTTCTAAACTTGCCAATTTAATGTGAAACAGTCTATTGTCTATATGATCACATTTACAGGCTCTGGTATATTTTAGTAAAGTTGCTGATTTTGACAACTGCTAACGATGTTATTTGATGATTAAAATCAAATATCAAGCTAAAAGCTCCACACACACATATTTATGTGTTTTTATATAATAGATAGAAGAACACACAAAATATTTAAAAGTGATGTCTGTACAATGTTTTTTTCTTCAAGAAAATACAATTGTACATGTAGAACATGTGAACATGTGACACGAAGATTAATTATACCCAAAAGGCCAAAACCCTCAAGAGAACGAAAGTATAGTGGAAATAATAGCTCACTTGTTAACGCACAAGTTGCTTTCATCACATTGTCATTGTTTTTTTTTTTTTGTTGCAAATATTCATATATAACTAATTTTCAGATATCATAAGCTACTTGCCATCTAATTTGGTGCAAAATGATACATTCCTTTGCTTTAGGTTAGGCATTCAATTTGTTGGGGACTTTCAGTCAAAACAAAAAAAAAGTTTTTCAGATTACCGGTTTAGTAATTCTTATGATTTACAACCAAATTATTTCATTTGGTTCGGTTCAATAAAACTTTTCTTTAGTTTGGTTTAATCTTCTGAAATATGCATCAAACCAGATTACTAATTGTTCGCTTTGGGTATTAGTATAATCGGGCTTGATCAGTAATGCCCAGTAAAACATAAAAAAAAAAAAGTTCGATTAAGAAATGGAGAGAGATTACATTAGAATGAGTGGCCCATATAAAAACCCTTGGGATTAATCTGAAAATATCAAAGGATTACAAGGACATAAGCGTAAATACCAAAAACAAAAAACGTTGATTTGTTATTATTATTATAGATAGAAGAGAGGTATCGAAAAAAGGAAAAAGGAATTATGAGAGAAAAAGGAAAATGTTACCAGAAAAGATCAATCCTTTGGTACGGACAAACTGTGGGGTCCACTTTTTCCCTCTTTTATCCACCAATAACCTTTCGTTTCTCTCTATACCTCGTATTTTCATCATCACGCGCTCTTACGCTCGCGTGTTTCTCATCTCTCTTTATATCAGCGCGTGAAGAACACGAGATCCGACCCAAGATGACGTTTGGTTTCTGACTAGAATGCTGGAGCCAACTATTATTACATTTTGGTGTTTTATATAATAAGATTTGGATTGTTAGATTCGTATATTTTTCTTGTGACAAAATTCGTCATCCTTTACATCACCATAATAATTTTTTATCAATATTAAAACTATACTAACTGAAAAAATCTCCACAAAAAAGTATCAATTTAATTTAGGGGAAAATAAATAAGTGAAAAAGGAAGATGAAGGAGAAGGACTTGTGTCGGAAAGGGAAACATGCATAATTTTATTTTCTTGTATTGTTTGGTCCATGAAGAAATATGGGATAACAAAAATTAAAAATCACAGTTTTGAGGTTGCCACGTCACTATCCACTTTGTGATTTTACATTTATATATATATATAATATAAATGTAAATATATAATATATAATATTTATATATATATAATTATCTATTTACTTTTTTAAAGAATGAATGAGGAACATTGAACAGTTTTTGTATTTTCAGTGTGTCCCAAAACTCATCAAATATTTACCACATGGATATCTTTGTGCGCTTCTATAACTGAATCTACTGATATCTTTAACTATCTCGTTAGCAACTCAAGCTGGTGTTTGCAGCCGTCTTAAATATATCTATTACTTCTAGAACCATAATGCTAATGCTAGTTACATATTTTATACTCTCTCCGTTTTCGAATAGTTGTCGTTTTAGAGTTTTTTTTTGTTTTAAATTAGTTGTCGTTTTAAGGTAATAATGTAATTTATGCCAATAACTACCCAAATTACCCTCATTTTATTGAACACAAATTATTTGTAAATAATTACTTGTCATTTTTATGAGGTTAATATAGTCATTGTATACCTTTTTTTAATTTGTCCAAATACAGTTAAAAGGACAATTTTTAAAAAACAGAGGAAGTAAGAGAGTTTTTTTTTATAAGAAAAAATCAGCCAAAATTTGTTTTTTGCGTGGAGACCCAAAACCTCAAGGACAGCTCTGGTTATTCTATATACGTTTCAAAGGTAATTAAACATAACAAAATATTTGGACGTAGGTAACTAAAAATTAAAGAAAATAGAGTAGAGCGATATGAATGTGAGAATAAAATAAGAAAATCAGTAAAACTTTCAATCAAATCTAAAAATCTAAGCTCCTAGAATGCTTTTTACATGACACGTTGTACATATTTTTGAGTGGGATGATGCAATAACAAACATTCCAATAATGGCTTTCGTTGAACATGTTGCTTTCCTCAAGTGGAAACTACTGCTCTTCTCTCTCTACGTCCCACTATCTCTCTTTCTCCCTATATTTATATAGATTATTGATTATTATTTTTAGCATTTTTGTGATATATACAAGCTTGATTTCATAGAGATGTGATATGTCTTTGGCTTGATATTAGACATACATAATAATTTTTCTATATATACACATGTTTTATATATGTATGTATGCGTTTGTGTTTGTATGTCAATAATTACCAAAGCCCACGGCCCACTTTACAGAGAGATACTCTGTCTCTTATATCTCTTTCCAAAAAAACAGGCCCACAAAAACTATTATTATCCCCATTTACCCCTTGAATTTTTCATTTAACTACTATTCATATTTCATCATATGTGTTCATATAAAACAAAACCAAAGATACAATTCCTAATTTTGGCGGAGTTTATTTGACCTTTATACTCCCTCGTTATACGACATATATGATATGACAAAAATGTACTAAAAGAACATGTATTATTGAATGTAAATAAGTAAGAGTACAATGATACCGTTTAAATCAATTCTACAATCTATATATGCTTTCAATTTTCGGTTTCTGTATCAAATAAATAAATTAAATGTATCCCCACAAGCCACAACGATGTCATATGTGGTTGTTAATTAATATGCCTAGTACATTAACCTAAACATAAATAAAAAGAATCAATGCCTATATCTACTTCGATCAACTTGCCTATGTGTCCACATAGTGTGGACGAGTAACAATAAATTCAATTTTCTTTTTGTAAACAATGAATTCAAGAATTCAAGAATTCAACATTAAACATTAAAAGTTTTTTTTATATGTTAATATATTTTTGACATTTTGCATACATATTTAAAAATATTTTCAAATTATGTTATGCCGCCTCTCTATAACATAAGTTGATTGTCACTAATATTTTATATAATTTTGTTATTAACTTTGTGTTTTATGTCAAATTTACATTGACAGTCAAAAACGGTACTTATTTTGAAATAATGATAACGTAGTACTAGATTTTATTTATTATTCGTTGGAAGTATATATCTGAACTTCTCTTCCCTTTTTAACTTATTCAGAAATTATGTTATACATGATATACAAGTTTCCAGCTATCATACAGTTTACATATTAATGATTGTATCCAGTAAATTTTGGATTCACTCTTGTTCTAATATGAATGCAAATCAAAACAGTGGATCTTGTTGGGTAATGGGTAAATATTATGAATACTATAATAATCACTGACAGTCTGACATACTATGATCAAATACAATGATATTATTTTTTATAGAATGTAAAAGATATACAACTTAGCTGGTATAAAGTAAGATGTGTCTTTTTTTAACAAAAATTGCAATCTTGGAATCGCAATCAAGTCCGAGATTAACGAACGTGGAAAACATCGGACGGTATCGATAGAATCTCGATTTGTGAGGTTGTCCAAATCTTGTTAGGCTTCCAAAATCCATATACCCTCAAGTAGGATCCACTTTCGATCTGGTTACGTGCCATTTTATTATTCGTTCGATGGGGGGTGGGGCATGTGAGCTAGCTGAGAGTGGATACTCTCCTCGATGTCTTCACGAGATTTTATTTTAATTTGTTTCGATGTGGTGATAGTTTTTTCTTATATAGAATTGGATTCGACTCGAGTAGGAGCCAAATAATGAAACATACCATTACAAAAAGTTTATATGAAGTGTATCGGAAAGCAACATTTTTTTGGAGAAGACAATATAAAATTTATTGGTCAAATAACAACAATCAAATTAAGATTCGTAAAAATATGTTTGAGGGATACATAGGAGGAAGACTAAACCGTATGAATCAAAACATAGATAGAAGTAGAAATGTCTCCAAATAGATCGATTGAGAGGAAGATTAAACGAGAGACATGTAAAATCAAAGTAAAAGAGTAGCTATTCTTGATTTCAACTCAAACCTGTAACGAATCATGTAGAATTCCATAGATCTCTTTGTTTTGGGTTTTGATTTTTGATGACTTTTTTTGTGAGCGTGGTTGCGAGTAGATCTGACGAAGCTTTTGATTTGGGACCCTATGGCAAGCGTTGTGGCTGTGAGGTCTAGGAAGATCCAGCCCAATCCTGCAATTTGAAGATCTTTGTCAATGTTGTACCCAAGTTAGTTGCAGATTATTAGATCTAAAAGCTTTTCTTGGATTTGGAGACAAAAAAAGAGAAGAGGAGAAATGATCTAAAAGCTTTTCTTGGATTTGGAGACAAAAAAGAGAAGAGGAGAAATAACGTGAGTTTGAGGAATGTGAGATTGGTGATGTGGATTAATGATATAGATAATCAAATTTTTATTTATTACTTTAATTAAAAACGAATTAAAAATTATTAATTAAAAAAAACTAATGAAGGGTGTTAATTGTAATTACACAAATGCTCAAAACATATGAGTAATTTTTAGAAAATGTATGATATTCTAGTAACTATTTTAAAAGAAAAAGCAAGAGAATGTTGAAGTTTCTTTAATGGACTTTCAAATTACATGGCTTAACTTATGAAAGAAAATAGATAAACTTTCGAATTAGAGACATGATTAAGAACTTGGATATATATATATATTTTATTCGAGTTCTTAATCATGTCTCTAATTCGAAAGTTTATCTATTTTATTATATATATATATATATATATATATATATGTGTTAGTACAAATATATGAAGGGTGTGGATTTACGATATAGGTTGGGGACAAATGAATACTTAGGGTTAAATTATTGAGAAGGAGAAAAAAATCTAAAGGAGACGACAAAAAAGGTACAAAGGGAAACACGTTAATGTACAAATATAGTAAGGAGTCAGGAACTTAGGTACGATGTCCTTACGTTTTGCGGTCCAAAGACTTTCCATTTTTGTAAATCTTTGAAATTAACCCCACTTGGTTCCCAAACATCCTTCGACACCGACGACACACACAAACACAATTTATTTCTTTTAATTAAGTTTTACCTTTTAACTTTTTTTTTGGGTACTATATCGAAACCACACCCAAATTTTAGTACGGTCCCATTTGCAATAATTCACGTTAGTTAATGGAGGGACCAACGAATTATTCCGACTTTTCAAGTTTTCATCAATATGGGAATCATTTCCATTTTTCACTTTAATTTCTGCTTTAAATTTGTTTCGATGTTTCAGACAAATTAAATAAATTAATAAGATGATTCGTTTCAAGCTATGAAGAAAATATCTATCTCATTGTGGTTGGTTGACAAGAAACTTTAAAACGACAGCGTTTGATATACCATAAGGCATAAGCTGCTTAATTTCACTAAAATACCTTTTAGAGGAACATATTTACGTGTAAAATGATATATAGTATGAAAGAACCAAGACTTTAGTCTAATTAATGGTTAGTTAAATCTATAGATTTATTAAAACAGTTTGCTATCAAAGCTGTTGATATCGGAAATAACACATTAGACATGGAAATCTATTATCACGAAAGTAAAAGATGGAATGAAGTTTAGTCGGAAACCCAATGATCGAGTTCATGATATCGAAGTATTTTTACTTTACTAGTTTTTGACGTAGATGGAAAACAAAATGAATAGAATTAAAACATGGTCAATTTTGTTTTCCATGTCGAAAGAGAAAACAACTTTGGACAAAACAAAATAAAATGGAAAACGCAAAAATTTTAGCAATTAAATAAATAACAATGAGGAAATGACATAAGAGATTAAAAAAACAACAAATTACATCTTTAACAAAAAAAAAAACAACAAATTACATCAAATTAAAGGCATATTAGTTTTGTTTTTAAAGTTTTAAAATTAACAATTAGTTTAGTTTTTAAAACAAAAATTTTTAAAAAAATCAAAACATTTAGTTAATAAAAGGATGGGATGCTAGATCCGATTTGTTTTTAACGCAATAGAATTTAACATTTTGTTAATAAAAACATTTTGTATGATAAAAAAACTTTTAGATAAAAATATCTAAAAGGTACTTAAAACATTATTTTTGAAAAAAACATAAAATTAAATTTAAATACGTTAAAACATGTTAAACTTATGATACCACAAGACATACGAACGAAAAGAACGGGATCCTAAGTCTAACAGTTTTCACGTATTTAAATTTAAAATTTTAGTTTGAAAACATTTTGTTGATAAAATTATTTTGTATAATAAAAACTTTTAGATAAAAAAATATCTTACCGGTTTGCTAAAAATATTATATCTGAAAAAATCTTAAAATTAAATTTAAATACGTGAAAATATGTTGAACTTATGACACCAAAAGACTTACGGACCAAAAAGACGAGATGCTAAGTCTAACCGTTTTTACGTATTTAAATTTAATATTTAAGTTTGAAAATATTTTTTATATTAAAAAACTTTTAGCTAAAAAATATATAAGCGTTTTGATTAAAACATTATTTTTGAAAAAAACTTTAAAATTAAATTTAAATACGTGAAAACATGTTGAACTTATGACACCACAAGACATACGGACCAAAAGGACGGGATGCTAAGTCTAACCGTTTTCACGTATTTAAATTTAACATTTAAGTTTGAAAATATTTTGTAGAATAAAAAACTTTTAGCCAAAAAATATATAATCGATTTACTTAAAAAATTATTTTGAAAAACATATAATTAAATTTAAACATGTGAAAACATGTTGAACTTATGACACCACAAGACTTACGGACCAAAATGACTGGATGCTAAGTCTAACCATTTTCACATATTTAAATTTAACATTTAAGTTTGAAAATATTTTGTATAATAAAAAATTATTAGATAAAAAATATTTAAGCGATTTACTTAAAACATTATTTTTGAAAAAACCTTAAAAATTAGATTTAAATACGTGAAAACATGTTGAACTTATGACACCACAAGACTTACGGACCAAAAGGACGTGATGCTAAATCTAACCGTTTTCACTTATTTAAATTTAACATTTAACTTTGAAAATATTTTGTATAGTATAAAACTTTTAGCTAAAAAATATATAAGCGATTTACTTAAAAAATTATTTTAGAAAAAACCATATAATTAAATTTAAATACGCGAAAACATGTTGAACTTATGACATCACAAGACTTACAGACCAAAAGGACGGGATGCTAAGTCTAACCGTTTTCACGTATTTAAATTTAACATTTAAGTTTAAAACTATTTTGTATAATAAAAAATTATTAGATAAAAAATATTTAAGCGATTTACTTAAAACATTATTTTGAAAAAACCTTAAAAATTAAATTTAAATACGTGAAAACATGTTGAACTTATGACACCACAAGACTTACATACCAAAAGGACGGGATGCTAAGTCTAACCGTTTTCACGTATTTAAATTTAACATTTAAGTTTGAATATATTTTGTATAATAAAAAACTTTTAGCTAAATAATATATAAGCGATTTACTTAAAAATTATTTTAGAAAAAACCTTAAAAATTAAATTTAAATACGTAAAAACATATTGAACTTATGACACAACAAGACTTACGGACCAAAAGGACGAGATGCTAAGTCTAACCGTTTTAACATATTTAAATTCAACATTTAAGTTTGAAAATATTTTGTATGGTAAAATTTAAGCGATTTACTTAAAACATTATTTTTGAAAATCCCTTAAAAATTAAATTTAAATACGTGAAAACATGTTGAACTTATGACACCACAAGACTTACAGACCAAAAGGACGGGATGCTAAGTCTAACCGTTTTCACGTATTTAAAACATTTAAGTTTGAAAATATTTTGTATAATAAAAATATATAAGCGATTTACTTAAAAAAATATTTTTGAAAAAACCTTAAAATTAAATCTAAATATGTGAAAACATGTTAAACTTATGACACCGCAAGACTTACGGACCAAAAAGACGGGATGCTAAGTCTAACCGTTTTCATGTATTTAAATTTAACATTTAAGTTTGAAAATATTTAATATAATAAAAAACTTTTAGCTAAAAAAATACAAGCGATTTACTTAAAACATTATTTTTGAAAAAACCTTAAAATTAAATCCAAATACGTGAAAACATGTTGAACTTATGACACCGTAAGACTTACGGACCAAAAGGACGGGATGCTAAGTCTAACCGTTTTCACGTATTTAAATTTAACATTTAAGTTTGAATATATTTTGTATAATATAAAACTTTTAGCTAAAAAATATATAAGCAATTTACTTAAAAAATTATTTTAGAAAAAACTTTAAAAATTAAATTTAAATACGTAAAAACATATTGAACTTATGACACCACAAGACTTACGGACCAAAAGGTCGGGATGCTAAGTCTAACCGTTTTCACATATTTAAATTTAACATTTAAGTTTGAAAATATTTTGTATGGTAAAATTTAAGCGATTTACTTATAACATTATTTTTGAAAAAACCTTAAAAATTAAATTTAAATACGTGAAAACATGTTGAACTTATGACACCACAAGACTTACGGACCAAAGGAAGGGATGCTAAGTCTAACCGTTTCACGTATTTAAATTTAACATTTAAGTTTGAAAATATTTAATATAATAAAAAACTTTTAGCTAAAAAAATACAAGCGATTTACTTAAAACATTATTTTTGAAAAAATCTTAAAATTAAATCCAAATACGTGAAAACATGTTGAACTTATGACACCGCAAGACTTACAGACCAAAAGGACGGGATGCTAAGTCTAACCGTTTTCACGTATTTAAATTTGACATTTAAGTTTGAAAATATTTTGTATAGTAAAAAAACTTTTAGGTAAAAAATATCTAAACGATTTACTTAAAACATTATATTTAAAAAAAACCTTAAAATTAAATATAAATACATGAAAACATGTTGAACTTATGACACCACAAGACTTACAGATCAAAAGGACGGGATGCTAAGTCGTCTAACCGTTTTCACGTATTTAAATTTAACATTTAAGTTCGAAAATATCTTATATAATAAAAAACTTTTACCTAAAAAATATATAAACTATTTACTTAAAATATTATTTTTGAAAAAACCTTAAAATTAAATTTAAATACGTGAAAACATGTTGAACTTATGACACCACAAGACTTACGGACCAAAAGGACGGGATGCTAAGTCTAACCGTTTTCACGTATTTAAATTTAATATTTAAGTTTGAAAATATTATTTAAAATTAAAATATTTTATTTAACAATATTAGTTAAGAAAAAGATTTTATTTTTGTTTGAAATCCGAATATCTATAATTGAAAATATTGTTTTCACCAAATCGATTATTATCTATAACGTTAATTAATAAAGAAATCTATATCTTAATATATATAAAAAAAAGGAAATTAAGAAAGATTAAGAAACCTGATACGATATCGAAATAGCCTCGGAGCCGTTGGCTTCTACAGCCAGGGAAATCGTCTATGTGGTAGCAGGATACGAAACCATTGTGGGTTTTGTTGAAGCTCAAATCCCTGCAACATTAAAGCCATATATGTGTTAATTAATGCAATGTTCAAATATTCCTCTTTTCAAACTTATTCCTACTCTTTAGGTTCACATCACTACAAAACCAAATCCACTGTTGATACAGTGACAAGGTAATCAGATAAAAGTATAGAAAGAATGAAAATTTATCACTGTAATCCATCTTCTGTATCTAATGATCAAGACAAGTTTAAAGATCTATCACATAGGAGCAAAACTTAATTACAAAGCTTATGTAACTATAACCTAAATAATTTAAAGTAATACGATGAATCACAGAGACATGCATAGTTCAGTAGTTACTAACAATTCAGTTCGAATTCTTCTCATGTATCTAAACCCTAGAACTATCGAGAGAAGGAACCAGATTTGGTGATCCATGAAGAATTAAACAGATTTCGAAAGAATAAGACTTACCGATGAATCCTCAGTGAGAGCTTTCGACGACGATAGAGAAGAAATAGAAGATGCATCCGAGATATTGGCGTTGGTACAGGTCGGCGATATATATGGATCATCAATTTCACGGTCTCTCGTGCTAGACGATCGTCTTTGTAAAACAATAGCAGAGAAAAGAAGAATATTTTTTAGAAGAAGAATTATGATTTCTCAAGAAAGAAGAAAGTTAAATATTTATAAGGGAAAAATTTCACGCAAAGAAAAAAGGAAACATTATATTGTTTTCCTTTTTTTCATATTTGGACTTCAAAAAAAAAGGCAATTGATTACAATTAAGGACCGTTTACAACGGTCTTATTTTTCTATTCGCAATTTGCAGATTTCGTTAAAAGGGCACGTGTTCGAATTTTATTATAAGCATAATTGTATTCTAATTTCAAAACTACATCGTTTTACCATTAAAGTCACAGTCACACTTTCGCTTTTCAAAACTACATCGTTTAGCCATTAAAGTCACAGTCACACTTTCGCTTTTCCCAATACAAACAAGCGGTGAGGCATATCTCCTCCTCCATCACTCTTTTACTTCCGGCGATCTCTCTCCGACGGCCAATGGACGCCTTCCTATACTCTGTTCCACTCTCCTTCACACGCCTACGCGCATCATCCTCTCCTTCCTCGCCGTATCTTCTTCCGCCGAGGTTTCTCTCGGTTCAGCCATGTCACAAATTCAATTTCTCTCGAAGCTTCCCTTCCAAATCCAGGATTCCTTCAGCTTCTTCCGCCGCCGGTTCCACTTTGATGAAGAATTCCTCTTCTGTAAGCTCCTTCACTCAAATTCCTCTTTCCATTTTGGGGAATTTTGTTATGCATGTGAATATTTGATCATTGGCGTCTTAGATTCTGGGAATTTTCATAGATGAGATTATAGTTTCCGGTTCTGTACAACGATTGAATTGTAGCTTAGACCGGACCTGGTGAAATTGCACATTTTAGATGATTAGAGGATTAGTTTTGAGGTTTGTATATGACTATTACTGTAGCCAAGAAGTGGAGTGTACACTGTTGGTGAGTTCATGACAAAGAAGGATGACTTGCACGTGGTGAAACCTACGACTACTGTGGATGAAGGTAGCTGTTTCTTATCCTTTAAAGTCCCATCAGATTGCTTGAAACATGCGAATATGCGATGCTGTGGTGTTTCAAACTTATAATCTCTTTTGTTTCTTCTCTACAGCTCTGGAACTACTTGTGGAGAATAGAATTACAGGATTTCCTGTGATAGACGAAGACTGGAAATTGGTTAGTATCCACTTTTGTCATTCAGGTCTTACGTGTGGAAAGGGATCTACTCGTGGATGCTTATGAGGGATTCTTTGTTGCTGCAGGTTGGGCTTGTTTCAGATTATGACTTGTTGGCTTTGGACTCCATATCTGGTAAATGGGCCAGCTACACCTCTTAATGTATTTGGTTTCCTTTGCTTTCTCATCTCTTTGAAGTGGAGAAAGAAGAAAGCTACTTGATCACATGGTGGCTTTAAGCCAGAAATATCTATGTTATGATGACCTTCTGTCTCATTCGGTCGCTAGATAGCACGCTCAACATGGAATGATCAACAAAGTTTCTTCCCTTACCCCTTAAATCTTATTGCTGGTTTTTTGTGTTGCTAATAGGTAGTGGAAGAACAGAAAATTCCATGTTCCCTGAGGTTGACAGCACCTGGAAAGTATGTGGCCCTTCCTTTTCCTATTATCATTTTGACCTGAATGCTTTTCAAAACACTCATTCAAAGTCTTTCTCACTGTGCTCATTCGCCTGGTGCACATTATCAGCAGTTGATAGTGTGAATTGAAAGCTACCGAGTAACTTATTTTGATTTACACAATGACCATGCACATAATTCAGCTAATTGATGTAAACCAATTATAGGATCTTCTGATTGTTATGAGTGTATGCACTAAAGAAGTACCTTATATGAAATATACATGGGTAATTTTACATTCAGTGCCTTAGTTTGAGTAGACGTCGACAGGATTCTGTAAAGTGGAGTCAAATCTGATAGGGTAAACCATCTCAAAATGAATAGTTTCTATATATTCTCATTTTTGTATCTTTTGATGATCTTGTATCATGTCATATTGACCGATAGAAACATTTGCAGACTTTCAATGCAGTGCAAAAGCTACTCAGCAAAACCAATGGGAAGCTTGTTGGAGATTTAATGACACCAGCTCCACTAGTTGTTGAGGAAAAAACCAACCTCGAAGATGCTGCTAAGTTATTGTCTTTCCTTTATTTTCAGTGCCGCCATTTCTTTTCTCATCTCTATCTAAATTCACTGTGATGATCACATTCTTCTCTAACTTAAAGCTTCTTATTCTATTTTCCACTAGAATTTTGCTTGAGACAAAATATCGCCGGCTCCCTGTGGTAGATTCTGATGGCAAATTGGTAAGAGAGATTTTACAATTACCAATCTCACATTTAATTTTGAACACACCCCCTTTCACATCACTTATCCATCTTATATTTCCTTTGAAAAAAGGTCGGTATCATCACAAGAGGAAACGTGGTTAGAGCCGCGCTTCAAATAAAGCGCTCCGGTGATAGGAATGCTTGATTAAGATATATATCACAAAGAAGAAAATAGCTTTGTAGAGGAAAGCAGTGATCAAACATTCTCCAGAGAATAAAAGTGAGAAACAGCGACAATTGTACCATGTATTAGTAGAATAAGAGCCACAACTTATATTACAGTTTGCATCGAAGTTAAGCCTGCCTAGTAATCTCGAGAAGAATCAAAGGTAAGTTGCACTTCTAACTTTTTCTATTTTTGCAGAATCAGCTTCTCTGTTTGTTTGATGGGTTAGGTTATCAGATGCTTTGGGTATTTGATTCTCATCCAATTATGCTTTCGAAATTTTTATTTTCATTTAGAAAGAAAAAAAAACTTGTTTCCTACTTTCTACATTTGGTTAACCACCAAAGTAACAGCCTTTTAAGGTATTTTAATTGATTTTGGTTCAACCAAAAATATTTTTCCTTTACCTTCTTGGTTTCGTCCGTACAAACGTATCTGTGAAATTGGAATCTTTTTCTTAACAAGGAGGCTCTAGATCGAGTAATTTAAGTTATTTCCTGTCAAGAACTTCCATGATTTACTCGATTAAAAATACTATAATAATAACAAGTTACAAGAGTGTTAGTTGCAAGGTCATGCTCATCATTAGCTGTCTAACGAAACCTCAAAACAATTGACCTTTAGTTATTATGGTGATCTGATGGAAAAAAACACTCATGGATCTGATTTAATTGAGTCAAAATGAAGTGAAAAACAGATTTATGAACTAGAAACTGTTTTTAAGCTCTCTAATGGAGAAAGAAACACATGTTTGAGACTAGTCTTTTCATTACAAGACCATAGCAAAAGAAATGATCAAGTTTTGAGATATGTGAGTTTTTGCTGTCTTTGCCCCACAAAAGAGATTAGAAAACACAGAAGAAAGAAAAGGGAAGACTTTAGTAGTTAGGATAATAGAGATAGAGAGAGCTTTAGTTGTTACGATCGGACAAGTTAAGACCCACTTACCATATTTGTTTTGTAGGACACTCATTGTCTCTCCAATCTCTCTAAATCCTTAGTCTCCTGTTTCTGCTGCTATTCACTCACCGCCGCGTTCCCCATCCAGATTTTATCTATAACATCATACTAATACTACCTCCTACCTATAACCAAACCGAAACATTGAACACTTGTGGAGTTGGAAGTATGACAGGATTGAGTAGTGAAAACTATTTATGGAAAAATATCATTACACTGATAATAAATTAGTAATCACAAACAAACTCATGGAGGAGGAGGTGCATGTTAGCAACCGCCTGCGCATCGTAAAGCAGACATTCTCTAAACTTCCTTCTACAACTTTTTTTTTTTTTTGTTTGGATGAAGGAAGAACAAACTTTACCAAAGTAGTGAAAACAAATCGATATTATTTGTTTCTATTTTTATTTCCTAATCGTCATCTGAAGTTTCCGGATCGGGTAATTTGTTCAAATCAACCCGTTCCAACGATCCATTACACCTCTTAAACCCTTCTTTACTACTACACTCCATATGATCATCATTAATATGATAATCACTAAGATTGTCTCCATAATCATGATTACCACGTTGTTGATGATGATGATGATGATGATGATGACGATTCCCTCCCGCCCCCGCCGCTTCTAACGCATCCACTTGAGCTCCAACCTCCGCCGCTTTTCTCCTTATATACGCCGCCGACATATCTCCACCACCGTTTCCTCCTCCTCCGCCACCTCCCGCAACGGTAACTCCGGCTAGAAGCTCCGGGAAGTTAAGCCGAGCGGAAGGACCTCGGAGATAAAACACCGCCGTGTCATAAGCACGCGCCGCCGCTTCAGGAGTAGAGTAAGAGCCAAGCCAGATCCTTGACCGTTTATTAGGCTCTCTTATCTCCGCCACCCACTTCCCCCACTTCCTCATCCTTATCCCTTTATACGGCTTCTCCCTCTTCCTCGTCGCCGCCGCTGCAACCGTAACCGCCGGAGTAGAAACAACCGTCGCCACTTCAGTCGCCGTCTCCATATGGTTTTCGCCGGAGACTTCAAGAATCAACCCTTTTTCGATCTAGAGAGATTTTTAAAGAAGATGTGAAATTGACGGCGAAGAGATTACATGCGGAGGGGAAGATTGATGAACACGTGGGCCAAGAAGAGAGGAGTGGAACACGAAACCGCAAAAGAGAAGAAGTTTCAAAAAATTCACCGACACTAATCGCTTAATAACTCTTTCTCATATAAGTATATATTTTTTTTCTGTTTTCTTTTTTCGTTCTCTATATATTCTAAGACAGAGACAACAATCTCATCTTCCCTGACATTTATATATACACATATAGATAAATCGTAGTTATTATATTTTGTCTTTATCATTTGGACGGAATTAAAATATTAGTGTTAAATACGCTCATGCATCTAATTTAATAATGCTCGTCGGCTTTTTTCCATTGGACGGTTAGATATATCAGCGTTACTATATATGCATTTAAACATCCTTAACTAAATAAAATAAAAAGATTTGAATGCAAGATTGTCCTACGGTATAAATCCATGAAATGTTGCAAATGCGTTATCTTATTTTATTTTTTAAATGAGTTGTTTTACATTTCTTAGAATGTCTAGTATCTCGGCTAGCAGTAAAATACAAAATTGTATTCTAGAAATTTAATTCTTTATATCGCACGTCAATTAGTTCCAAATATTTTAAATAAACTTTAGGTTATATAAATTTCTACTATATATTCAATTTCGAGTTGGCTATTGGAATATATATATATATATATATATATATATATATATATATATATATTTGTTCAAATCGTCAAATCGTCATAAATTGAAAAAATCTTACCCAAATAAAATATACTGAAACTACAAGTAAACAGAGGATATTTATATTGATTGCATGGAATAGGAATAGTATTGACGTAGGAAAGTGGGTCGTTGTTGTGGAATTTGGGAAATAATAATAAATGGGATTTAACTTAGATTGATTTAGGTGTTTAAAAAATGATACAGAAATGTTCAAGCAAATAATACGGTTAATTTACTTATTTATTGCTTTTTTGCATACAAATATTTAATAGGGAAGAGGCGGTAATGACACGCGTGTCTCCTTCTGTTCTGGGGACAAGTTAAGTGGGATTTTTGAGGAGCTTTGTCTTTCCTTATTTCCTATGTTTTTTTTCTTATTTTTTACAGATATTATTTGTTTCGTATTTTGTTATGTCAATACATTACATTTCAAAATTTTAACTGTTGAAAGAAAAAAAATTCGACTTAATTTCATTGATATTCACATTAAAAAAACTGTATATTTTACTTTATTTTTTTCATTTTCGAATTATTACCTATATCATTTGTGAAATTTTAAATTTTTCTTTTGAAACAAGTAGCGTAAATGTTCATGTTATATTGAAAATTAAAAGATTATCTAATCTACCTTTGACAATAGATAATGCTATAGCATAAATGACTAGAGTACTGGAGAATGCGAGATTCAGTTTGATAATAGCTTTAAATATAATTTTGTAAGTTTTTTACATTTTTAATTCTTTTATCCGAACAAACTAACATCTTTTAAATCAATAAATATTTATGTGGAGGAATATAATTTAAAAGGTATCCTAGGATCTACTTACAATTTTAAAGATATAAATAAATGTAAACTTTTTTCTATAGCAGTTGTAGATGTTATAGCGAATTTCGACTACTCTTTTCGAAACATCATTATCTTTTGGTTGCGATGAGAAACTAACTAAATTTGCAAATTTTCTTAAATTATGTTTATAGGTGATTGGTGAATAGGTGATCCAACCTTAAACCGTTGATTAGTTCAGCTGAAAAAGTCATAAATCTTAATTCCAATTATGAACAATTATCTAAATAATTGCAAACAACAAATGACATTAGTCACAATAAACTCTCCAAAATTTTGTTCCAAGAATAGAATATTAATTTTTTTGTTCCTAAACATCAAAATGAAAAAAAAAAGGTTTAGGTCGGTGGTCGGTGGATATTGTATGGCGTTTGGAAATAGACGTTCCATCCACGCAATAGCGATGTGCTTTATTTTACTATAATACCCTTCCAAATATCGTCATTTAAGAAGGGGAATTAAGGCCAAAACTGTAGTTCCATGCACATATTTACGCTTCATAACATTGGAAGACTAATTTGTGATAATTTATCAAATGGAACCTAATTATTTGGAAACAGTGAAAGTACCTTCGGAGTCTAATGCTTGAGCCACACATTAAGAAGAATTATATTTAATTTAAAAGCCTGAAAAATATAACAGAAAATTAATCAAAATTAGTATAGGGATTTTGTATAAGTCATTAAAATCTTAATTTTGTAAACTTGTACGTATGCGTTGTAGATGGACTGTTTTGTTGGAATCATGCGATTGACGTGTTAGATTACTAATTTAAATCTGTTTACTTTTTAATAAGATTTTAATTTTTATGCTAGATATTACTTTTTTTTTGGTAGGATGCTAGATATTACTTATTAGAATAATAGTTTATTATTAATATGCTTTAGATGGTTTAAATCAATACATAAAAATACCAAAATTCTATGTAGGAATTGTTTTTTTATTTAGTGACATGTCTACAATAATTTTTTTAGCATAAACTGGATATTTCGATTTCAAAAGCGAAAATATCTGGTGACTTAAGCGAATATTGATCTTACTTCCAAAATTCTGAAAATAGAATATAATTCTCTATTGTTAAGCAAACTTTCCTGAATAATGTATATCATTTGTTTAGCCAACATGACATCAAAGCATTTTTCATACGTGTGATTATGTCATCGGATTGCTTGGATTCCTCTCCAAAAAAATCCAATAATATACTGAAAATTTTCAATACGAGACGTACGTAGGTCCATATATGTACGTAAATATTATAGATGCGACCGACATCGAAGTCATGAACGACGTAAACCGTATAATTTTATCTTTAGATATATAAAACCACTAGTATTAAGGCCTGTGCGTTGCACAGAAAAAAATTATTTTGTGATAGTGGGTAAAAACAGTTGAATTGATTTATTTTTTCTGTCTATTATTATTTATTTTTTTGTCGAATTATAAATTGAAAGAGTAAAAATTGAGACTTAAGCCAGATGGCAGATGGAGATGGTTGCAATTTTTTTAAAGTTATTTGTGATTTATTATATAAGGATGTCCAATTTTTTTTGTCGAATAATAAATTGAAAGAGCAAAAATTGAGATTTAAACCAGATGGTAGATGGAGAGGATTGCAGTTTTTTTAAACTGACTTGTGATTTATTATATAAGGATTTTTTTTTGTCGAATAATAAATTGAAATAGCAAAAATTGAGATTTAAGCCAAATGGTAGATGGAAAAGATTGCAGTTTTTTTAAACTGACTTGTAATTTATTATATAAGGATTATACACCACACGATTTTACTTTTGCTACTATTAATTAGTTTTTTTTTCATAACAATGACCTAAAGTGTCCAAAGCTTGTTATCAAAATATTTGTAGTAAACTATTTGTTTTACAAAAAGTTTCAATCTTTTCATGCATACATAATAACTATCTAAAAAAATACTATCTAGATCAATAACAAACAAGCAAAACTCATTGACAAAAAAAAAAAAAAAAATCATACATCTCTAACTTAAACATCATCGAAGATAAAACTGAAGAAACTGAAGGCTGATTTGCTGATTTTATAATCTAGCTTTTGTCTGTGTTTATTAAACAATTCTTCTATATAATCTGCCACTTGTTGCTTGTTTAATTAGTGCCGAAAAGAGATGCAAGACATTTCTTATACTCCATTTGCACAAAACAAAAAAAAAAAGACATTTCTTATACTCCATATGTTTCATTTTATAGTGATGTTTCAAGTTTTTGCATATATATTAAAACACACACAAAAAATTTCATTTAATTTACCTTTTTTACATTCAAACATTATTAACTACAACTAATTCAACCAATAAATATATATATATATATATATAATATTATTAGTTGAAAATATTAAATACATTTAAGTTTTACATAAAAAATTTGAAAACGTTTTTTAAAATAAAACAATTTTTGTCTTTGCCTTGAAGTGATAAGGAAAGAGTATAATATATCTCAAGACTCAAATGACTCCTTTGCTTTTTCTCTCTCATTTCTTTCGTTTTTTTAAAAATCCTCCTATTTTCAAGGATATACCACCAATCATATTCTATACAATCACACACTCAATTTATGAATTTTTTTTGTTGGCTATGCATGCATTTCAATATTATTTTGTTTGGGTTGGTATATCATCCTACTCCTTCTGAATAAGCAAATCATTCCATAATTTGTTAGACCAAATATATATCCACGTCATCCTGCTAAAAGTATACCAGACCAAAATATACCAGACTTGAAAATTGCCTTTAACTGCCTCAAAGTCATTGTGGTCTATCCGTCTAACCGTTTAGCTTGTTGTATAAATGCTAATAATGACCGCACTAGTTAAATAATCTTTTTTAAAAAAATAGAATGCAAAAAAAAAAAATTACACCATACAAAAAGAAACAGAGTGAATAGAATATATATGTCACTAGTTAATATATAGTATTACTCAATATATCATTATCACAATACGATTAATATCTCAACATCATTTTTCATTTTTCTTATTTTGGATACAATCGAGTAGTCAACATTTGTTCTCATATATCACATAATCTCAATTTCTTGGTAAAAAATGAACAAAATTGGACCATTTTTAATTTATACGTGGCAAAAGGAGTATATATGGACCATCATTATCTTTTCTGTATTATTCCGAATTTATTTTATATCCCTAAAAACAACTTATATCATAATTTTTGCTAGAATTAAGCGTATATCTTAAATAATTATGCAGTGGGGATTAGCTGTGAACTGGTTGGCACATGAACGTGCCAATTACCCAAAATTCAAAAGTTTTATTTATCTTTTGGGAGGACAAACAATAGAAGCAAACCCTTGAATCGATGAACGGATAAAGGACCACAGACATATATATAGTTTACGTACCTTATGGATCTCCACAATTCTTTGCATTAAACCATGATAATTTCATTATATATAGAAAGTTTAAAGAACACTCGTGCCTTCTTTTAATTTCGTTTCATTATGCATGGAAACTATATTAAAATATCTGAAAACTTTCTGCTTTTACAGTTAATAATACATGTGATGATTCTATAGTCTATACAAAAAGAAACTAGTTCTCTTTAATCGTGGTGTTTATATTCGAACACAAGAGTCATTGACTCATTGAGTCAACATATCTAAAAAGGTTTGATTAACAACACAATCTGTTGATCATTACTAACTCATGGTTCAACGATTTTGTTAATATACATGAATTCATCGATAACGCTCGATCTAAATTCAAGTACATTGAGATCGATGTGGACAATACACTCATTTTAAAAAACGCATGTTATTGTTACGTATTTTCCCCAAAAATGTATGGGTCTTTTTTTTCGTTTTTCCTTCTGAAAATTATAAAACTTTTGTGGCATGTGACAAAAAATTTGCCTCGATTTACTTAGTGCACGTAATGAATAAAATTGTTAAATCACTTAAAAAACGTGCTGTTATGAACTTACAAGCTTGCTAATTAAGTTTATTGAATTGCAGGGACGTTAGACAACGCGTCAAGGTCGCATTTTACGTCAAACCGTGGAAAATGAAATTCTATTAGATTTTCATACATTGCTCTACTCTCGAGAAATAGTCGTTATTAAAAAGTTTTACTAGTTATGCTTTTTTCTCTTAAAATTAAGTATATAACAAAGTATGAAATCTTTCGGGATGTATAATTGTACCTTATCTATTACAGTCTTTCTCTGATGAAAACTTACGTAATCTCCTTTGAAAAAAAGAAAAAGAAAACCTACGTATTCTACTAATATATACTTCTTGTTTTTTTTAAGTTTGATGTTTTGAGTTTTGCACATAAATTAAGAAATAAATTTTTTTTATTATTTAATTAAAAATATATTATTATTTAAATAGAAGATAATGTGTTTGTTACTAACAATGCAACAAAAATGAGGGTTTCACATTCCATCATTACTCTATTTTTCTATTTTAATTAATTTAAATAAAATAAAAACATTAAAGAATAGCCAAAACATCAAACGTGAGAGAACAAAAAGGAGTAGAGAGAGATACATGAAAACAAGAGAATTACTAGAGCAACAATTAAAGTATGTACAGCAAAAGTTCTGACTTTTATTAAAATTGTGAGAAGGGTAAAAAAGTAATAAGACTGTAAAAGTAATCTGCACCTGAAGGTCAAAAGGGCACATGTGAAAATTAATAAGACTTGTGAGATTAAAGGAAGGTGTAGTTTTTATTTATTTTAATTTTAATTGTTTGTTTATACAATTATTGGAGCTCGATTTGTCAAGATCGTAGGTAAAGTACATTTATATTGTCCAAAATCTGGTTATTCGGCGTTTTACTACTTGACTTATTACTTGCGACAACTGAATTATTGAAATTAAATTATTGACTATTTTTTTCTTTGGTTTTTTTCGTCAAATTATTGACTTGTTACTTATACACCTGCATCGAATTTATATAATTTAAAACTCATTATCATCATCTCTAACTTGAAATTGTAAACAAGTTTATCTTTATGTCGAGAGACATTATAAAACAATATCTTCTTTTGAATAGTAGGGATATTACAAGACCGGACTATCAAAAAGTAGTTCGACTCTTAAGATCTTACCAAGTTAGAACTTGCTTTGGTCCGGCCTCTAAAAAATCAGTTTTGCAGTCTGAGAGTCGTGTTGAATTCGATCAAATCTCTCTTTCTATGACGAATAATTGTGGACGTATTCACACAAAATCATATCAAAAATATCTCTAAAGTTTTTGGCTATTTGCATAATATTTTCACTTGTATAGTCGTCAGAGGACAAATGAACTCTACTTTCTACATATCAGCCCATTATGAACCAATCCAGGATCATAATGGAAGCCCATGTTTTTTCTCTTGTAGTTGCAGAATTAGTTCGCATTTTGACACAAAAGTTGTTTTTCTTATTTGTTTTTTTTTAACGCAAAATTTGTGTATCCACTAAACACACTAAACAAGCCAAGTTCATACTCGATAAAATGCTGCGTGATAAAAAAATTTGTACATTTTTTGTGGATGAACCAAAAAATTTACTCGATGTAGTTTCTGTGGATGAACCAAAAAATTTTATAACACATTTTTTTTTGTCTGGGTGAACTCTAGAGTGTCAAACGAGTGCATCCATCTGGGTTGGGGAGATTGCGATGAGCCCATTAGTCACTAGGTTATGTCCATTTAAGTATGATGCTTTAGGTTTAACACGTAAATTAAATTTTTTTTATAGTATTTCATTATTTTTTTTTGTTAGTTTAATAATGATGTTTACAAGTAAAAGTAATAATGATGTTTTGTATTTGTGGAAGAAGAAAAAACTCCAAAACATCAAACTATAAGGAACAGACGGAGTAATACAATTACAGACGGTAATACAATATTTTGTGAACCTAAAAAGGTTTGATCCGAGGCAAAGTCATTTTTCTTTTACCAAAAGAAAAGGGAAAAAGTTAAGTTCTTTCTTTTATCTTCTTCCTTAACAAAACCTACGAGAGCAAAAAGAAAATTGTAACAAATCTCTCACTAACCATGAAAGTTGGTCACAAATACCAAATCATAAAGACTCTATATGTAGGCTAAAATAGTATATAAAAATTAATAGAAAGTGTTTTAAATCAATTTAATAACCCAATATTAAAAAAAGTCAGAAAAACTGAACAATAATCAAGAAAAGAAATGTAAGGATCAGAAGAAGATAAATATAAGAATTGATGAAACTTACCTTCAACAATGCCGAAAACGAAGAGGGATAATGTGAAGATCATCTGGGTCTACATGCCGTGGACCTTATCTGACAGCATGACTGTGAGACATCTGTCTAAATTCCAATAGTAAAATCTAATTTACTGTAATTTTTCTCATATGTAAAAAAAAATCTCTCAAAGCTGATTTGCACCAACATGACAAGAAACATCAGGTTCTTACCAAACCTAAAAGCAGAGCCTGAATCCTCTTCTGGTTCTTCATTACGATGCAGAGAGATTATAAGATCACAGAGGCCAGAGCAGAGCAATTTTGATAAACCTTCGACTTGTTGTTACTTACCTTTCGTTGCAGAGAACTTTCAAGAACACTGAAAAAACAGAGGAAGAGATGACATTAGAAAAGAAAAATTAAACACTATGATGTGTAGACTTGAAACTGACGATACTTTAGTGACAAGAAAAAGTGACAAAAATGCTTCGAGAGATTACATCTAACAACTCTTACCAAATCTTGAAGAAGTGACGATGAAACTTTGGATGAAAATGCTTCAAGGGTTTGACTACGAGAAATCTTGGATGAAACTTTGCTCTCTCTCTCTCTCTCTCGTTTTTGAACAAAAGAAAAAAGAAGGAGCCTTTGCTTTGTGAAACTATGAGAATTGTAAGTGATAATATAGACGAAGAAGAAAGGATTGTGGTAAGTAAGTTTCTGAGCAAGAGTCACTTATATAGGCAGCTTGGATTTGTTTTTCCAACGGCTACTTTCCTAACGTTTATATTTTTTACCGTTGTAAATTTTTGAGTCTCAAATCTATGAATTTGTTTTTCCAATGCTACTTTTCCAACGTCTATATTTGTTACCGTTGTAAATTTTTGAGTCTCAAATGTATTACCGTTTGTGAATGAGTTGACACTTTCACATCACACCTAGATAAAAAAATTATTACGCAACCAACAAAAAGCGTTCACAATAATAAGCCCAATGGGCCTAACGAGGCCCTGATTAGGATTGGTCATGACTACTCAATTAAGTAGGATTCATAACAAGTCACTTGTTAATTGTTATGTTCCTCATATCTTTGTTCAAATGCCTTTTTAAGTAATAACGCAATGGAAGTATATATATACTAAACACATATCTTTATATATTTTCTTGCAAATATAATTTCATAAATCTGAATATACATGTCTGTGTATGATATTTATGCTTTGACACTTTGGTGGCGCAGAGTAATCATATTTATGCTTTGTGTGCAAGTGAAAACGAACCAATAACAACAATCTTTATAACTTCCCCACCAAAACGAACCGATAACAACAATCTTCACAACAAACAAACCGAGATCTAAACCAAAACCCTTCAAACCATGTCATTTACCGGACCAAACTGTACACTTATTATGTCTATGATATGGCGGATACGTCGTTGTCATGGGCCTTACTAATGGCCCATTACAGACATTCGTAATCAATCATTTTGGTTAGTCTTTCCCAAATTCGTATACATTCCTCCTCGATAATCACTTTTAATAGTCATAAATTAAAACCATATGTATTAATGAAAAAAACAAAACACATTACATTGTTATGCCAACATTTAATTCAAATATTGAGGGATGTTTAATGTTAACACCCGAAATTTCCACAAAAATTATTACCAAAAACAAATTGACTTTTTTTTTGGTAGGGACCAAAAACAAATTGACTTCAATTAGAGACATATTAAAACGACCCTAATTTTACTCAAAATTTAATTGAAAGATTTAATTCCCCAATAATAAAACGACACGTGTATCACCTTGTCGCTTTCCTCTGCTTCTTCGATGGCGTTGCATCGAAGCATCAGAGATTGGTATGGTGGTGGTGAGAGAGCAGCAGCAGCAGCAAGAAGAGAAAGCGATAATCGAACTGATTAAGATCGTGAAATCGAAGTAATCTTTTGTTGCTTAATCTCAGATCTTTTGATAAGGAGGAAGAAGCAAGAAGAGAGGTCAACGAAGAAGATGAAGCTCTCTGCTTTACATCAGAGTTACTTGAATCGTCGGAGTAATAGCTTCAGATCTCCGACGTCTCTTGATTCTTCCGTTGATGGCTCCGGGAAGTCTTTAATCGCTGTGTTTTGGCTTATCCTGCACTGTCTTTGTTGCTTGATTAGTCTAGTCCTCGGGTTTCGTTTCTCCAGATTAGTCTTCTTCTTCCTCTTCTCTACTTCTTCAATGAATCTCTACTCTGCTCCGTTTCGTCCTGACTTACCGGTGAAGCACCTCGATGTTCACACAATCGGCCGTAATCTGGATCCCGGAGCAAACGGGACGGTGGCGATGGCGACGAAGAGCTCTCGTGTTGTCGTTGGAAGACATGGGATCCGGATCCGGCCTTGGCCGCATCCGAATCCCGTCGAGGTAATGAAAGCTCATGGGATCATTGAGAGAGTTCAGAAGGAGCAAAAGACCATCTTTGGGATGAAAAGTAGTAAGATGGTTATAGCTGTGACACCTACTTATGTGAGGACTTTTCAAGCTTTGCATTTGACTGGTGTGGTGCATTCTTTGATGCTTGTTCCTTATGATGTGGTTTGGATCGTTGTTGAAGCTGGTGGTGCTACTAACGAGACGGGTTTGATTATTGCTAAATCAGGACTTAGGACGATTCATGTTGGGATTGATCAGAGAATGCCTAATACTTGGGAGGATCGTAGTAAATTAGAAGTCTTTATGAGACTTCAAGCTTTGAGGCAAGTTTTATACAATTCTCTATTGCTTTTTATCTCTTTTGTTTGCTTAGTTTATTTGTTGGTATACAAATTTGAAGCTGAAAGTGATGATCTTGTTTTGGTGTGTTTAGAGTTGTGAGGGAAGAGAAGCTTGATGGGATTGTGATGTTTGCGGATGATAGTAATATGCATAGTATGGAGTTCTTTGATGAAATTCAGAATGTGAAGTGGTTTGGTACTGTTTCTGTTGGGATATTGGCGCATTCGGGGAATGCGGAAGAGATGGTTATGTCGATGGATAAGAGGAAAGAGATGGAGAAAGAGGAAGAAGAGGAGAGCTCTTCGTTACCGGTACAAGGTCCTGCTTGTAACTCAACTGATCAGTTGATTGGTTGGCATATTTTCAATACATTGCCATATGCGGGGAAGAGTGCTGTTTATATAGATGATGTTGCTGCGGTGTTGCCTCAAAAACTGGAGTGGTCTGGCTTTGTGTTGAACTCGAGATTGCTTTGGGAGGAAGCTGAGAATAAGCCAGAGTGGGTTAAGGACTTTGGGTCGTTGAATGAGAATGAAGGTGTGGAGAGTCCTTTGTCTTTATTGAAGGATCCTTCAATGGTGGAGCCTCTTGGAAGCTGTGGAAGACAGGTTCTGCTATGGTGGCTTCGAGTTGAAGCACGCGCTGATAGCAAATTCCCTCCCGGGTATACCTTTTTGCTCAGTACATTGTTGTATCATTAACCATCTTGCAATCTTGTTGAAGAACGGATAGGCATTAAACCGAAATTATGAATAGCGATTTAGGAAGCAGGTCTTTAGTCACAAGGAATGTAACAACTTTTGCTTGACTTATGCATAAGTTAAAATTAGGGATTAGTTAGTAAGTTTTGACTAGTATCATATATTAGTTGGGAGTGTGAAAATTTAATCTCACCAAACATTTGCGTGAGGTCGGTCCAATTTCGTCCTAGTTCGTAAGTGTCTCATGTTGATGTATTGACGTGACCACTCCTCTTTTTTGAGTCATGAGGCTTAAACTCTGTCATTGAATGTGTCTCTAGTATAATCTTTGAGTTAGAACAAACTAAACTACACACAAAATGTTTGTGTTTTCTGAGAAGATGTTGATGTTGGTATCATATTGTCTGATTCTGTTCTCATTTTTTATTGTTCTCTGAATACAGATGGATAATTGATCCTCCGTTAGAGATTACAGTCGCGGCTAAACGCACTCCATGGCCAGATGTTCCTCCTGAGCCACCAACCAAAAAGAAAGATCAAATGCCATTATCCCAAGGCAACACCGTCGTGGTAATACCGAAGCAGCAACAACATTCAACCAAAATCCGAAAACCGAAACGCAGAAGTAAGAAAAATAAACACGAACCTAGACCAACGGATACACAAGTTTATTCATCTTCGTCTAAGCATCAAGAAAGAAACTGAGAAAAGAAGAAAAAACTTTTGAGAGATCAAGAGGTCCTTCTACTATTATTATTCATTTGTTACCAAAGTTTTAGAGAAATCTCAGAGATCATCTTCTCCTCCAGATACCGCAAATATTACAACTAACGGAGAGGAAAACAAAACCGGGAAAATTAGATTACGATGATGGAAGGTATACAGGTTTTTCGGGGAATGATGATCATTCGTTTTTCAACTATCGTTTTATTTTTGGTCTTTTAAAACTTATCTTTATTAGTAACAAATCAAAGATTGTTTGTTTCAATGTTCTTGAGGGTTACAAAAAGTGTAGAAACAAAACTTTGAGTTGTATAGTTTTGTAAGCATATTTTCTCAATTCATTTATGTTTTCTTACATAGAAGCATTATCTTCTCATGGACCCAAAACTTGAAAGCCGCCCTCGATTTTACTTATATTGATGAAATAAATCAATTTTACTTTTACAAGTTCATATTTTTGTGTATATATTATTGTTGATTTATCTTGTATCCATTATGACACATCCGATATGATGCAAGTGGGCTACTACCGAATGACTAGATCAGCTAAGATTGGTTAGAAGCTACTAGTAACTTGAGAAAAATTAAAAAATATTTGAGATGAAGACATTGGAAAAGATACCCTCGTGAGAAAGAAATGTGAAGAAAGTAAAAAAAAAAAAAAAAAACAGAATCATAGAAGAAAACAGAGGAATTAAAGGGAGAGACAAAGACTGCAAACAGATTCATAACTGAAATAATGGAGGAAGATAAGGCGGTTTTGTCAGAAGATCACATGTCTTCTTTAACCACTTTTTTCCCTTTTTTGTTTTTTTTTTTCTTTCTTATATATTATGGTCGTACCAATGGGTTCGTGTCCTTTGACCATTTTACAATTCACATCGGTATGAGTCGGTTTCTTTGGATTAGGTTTTTGAATTTCCAATTCTTAAGCGAGAATCAAACATGCCATAAATGTTCCCATGCTTCGTGCGTAGCTTAGCTTCTCCCATACAGAATCATATCCAAAATTGAACAGAATTACTATAAAGAAACAGAGAAACGGTCACCTTTTTCTTTAGTTGTGACATGTCAGAAACACGAGCGAGACACTTTTGCTTCTTTAACCTTACCAAAAGCCACTTCCGTTTTAAACTCCGTTAGAGACACCTCTTTGCCTCTCATTTCCTCCAATCCCAATTTTTCTCTTCTTTTTCTAGTTTCAAATATGTTCCCAATTATTTTTCTAGTTTCATATGTATATGAAAGATCCAACGGTCAAGATGGGACGGCGCCTCGTGGGTCGTGAGCAAAGAAGCTGCCGTGAAATGGGAACATCTCATCCACCCATCATTCAAGATTCCATTCTCTTTCTTATTTATTCTATGAATCTTCATAGAGATATCTTTATATCATCAACTATTAAAAAAGAGACCACACTTGGAAGCCAAAATGAATTATTTCAGACGTGAAAATTATTAAACCAGACCACAGTTTCTTGGAAATTGATGTAACGTTTTGATTTCAGAAGTTCTCAGACATCTATACCTAATTAAACTCTCCACAAACTAATGTCAATATGCTTGCATGTGTTTGGATTAAAGTTTACAACTTACTAAATCCAATGAATATGTATATTTATATATATATATATATATACACACGTATTTATATAATATGAATAATTCGATGTAAATAAATTAGATCACGAAGAAGATGTAAATAAAGTTTACAATTTATTTTATTTTATTTTATTTTGACAACATATTGATCAAGTTCCCACGTATATGGTAATATAGCCAATAATAAACGTTGCAGTGAGACGCGAATAGTCTGTTTGGCTGATTGACTGGAATCTACATCTTAAAGGGAACAATAATAACTACACCAGACGTAAGCCATGAGCCCCATGACAACTTTTAAAAATATTTGTATGTGAAATACTGATCGGGTTAAAAAGATCAAATAAGATTGCGTGACCATGAAAAATAACCATTTTAAAATATATAAAATAATAACGCATAGCTTTTTTTTCTTTTTTTCTTTTTTCGTCGTATATAGCTGTTGAGACGCAAAAAAAAAAAAATTAGTATACCGTCCACAATGAATATCGTTTTGCTAAAACTCCAAATGAGTGTTGTATTAATATAGCTATTTTTTAGCTGTATGTACGTCAGATACGAATAAATATGTAACTTTTTTAATAAATACGCAAATCTCTCGTGATATGGTGATGTGAACAACAAACCACGGAAAAGTAAAAAGAACAAACCATCTTATAATTAGCATGTAATATTACTGAAGAGAAAAAAGTTATTACGCTCTATTCCGTCACAAACTTAGAAGAGAATAGTAAACTATTTGAATTACAGGCGAATAGTTTGACCCCACAGATCTTCGAAGTTTGAATATCTTTTTGGTGAAATATACATATACGTCGCAAGGGAAGGGGAATTGTGTTCCCTAGTACTTTGTTTCTTGGTCGGCTGCTTAGAAATACTATGCTTTATTCTAATTTGTTATGTTGTATTCCATATAATCAGAATGTTTGATCTTTTAATCTACTTTCTTATAATATTTTTTGCGAAAATTCTTGGTGCACATGAAACTAATTTAGGAAACAAGATGTATATTTTGTTGATCAAGTAAAAAAAGGTAAACTGAATACTATTCAAACGAAGTGTGAAGACTGAAATCGATTTTTTCAATGAATCAAAACTTATTAATATCTTATAAATGGTACGTAATATAAGTATGTTATGTATTTCTTGAATCTATTTTTATTAGTACATCAAGGTATTTGTTGGCGTTGGAATCGTTGGATGGCAAAAACCGTTTTAATGTACATACCATCTTGCATGCCCTTTATTTCAAATTTCGGATTAAAAAAATTCAATTCGAACAGTCCACCATCTTGCATGCCCATTATTCCCATTTCATTATGATAGAAAAGTATACCAACTTGAAATATTAAAATACCAAAATTTTGGTTATAAATAGTCCCACAGTTTTTCATCCCTCCAAAAAACAAACTATCCCAAGTATTCCCAGCTATCCAAAACACATAACAATATGGCTCCTTCAACAAAAGTTCTCTCTTTACTTCTCTTATATGTCGTCGTTTCATTAGCCTCCGGTGATGAGTCCATCATCAACGACCATCTCCAACTTCCATCAGACAGCTGGTGGAGAACCGATGAAGAAGTGAGGTCCATCTACTTACAATGGTCCGCAGACCACGGGAAAACTAACAACAACAACAACGGTATCATCAACGACCAAGACAAAAGATTCAATATTTTCAAAGACAACTTAAGATTCATTGATCTACACAACGAAAAGAACAAGAACGCTACTTACAAGCTTGGTCTCACCAAATTTACCGATCTCACTAACGAAGAGTACCGGAGTTTATATCTCGGGGCAAGAACCGAGCCCGTCCGCCGCATCGCGAAGGCCAAGAATGTCAACCAGAAATACTCAGCCGCAGTAGACGGCAAGGAGGTTCCAGAGACGGTTGATTGGAGACTGAAGGGAGCCGTTAACCCCATCAAAGACCAAGGAACTTGCGGTAATTACTAATTATGCTTTCTCCTTTCATAATCTATATTATAAACTACAAGCATTTAACTAACGTCTATATTTACACATGTTTTGTAACAGAACAAACTTTTATGTTATATTTGTGTAACTTAACATGTAACACATGCAGCTGTGTATTGATGTTATATTTGTGTTTGTGTATTGATCAACACAGGAAGTTGTTGGGCGTTTTCGACAGCTGCAGCAGTAGAAGGCATAAACAAGATCGTAACAGGAGAACTCATATCTTTATCAGAACAAGAACTTGTCGACTGCGACAATTCCTACAATCAAGGTTGCAACGGCGGTTTGATGGACTACGCTTTTCAATTCATCATGAAAAATGGTGGCTTAAAAACCGAGAAAGACTATCCTTACCGTGGATTCGGCGGCAAATGCAATTCTTTCTTGGTAAACACACAACAAAACAGAGCCACTCTGTTTTCATTTTATTGTATAATGGAATTGCAACACCTGAAAATTTTGTATCTCTTTGTGTTTTGCAGAAGAATGCTAAAGTTGTGAGTATTGATGGGTACGAAGATGTTCCTACAAAAGACGAGACGGCGTTGAAGAGAGCAATTTCATTGCAACCGGTTAGTGTAGCTATTGAAGCCGGTGGAAGAATTTTCCAACATTACCAAACCGTAAGCTAACCAACCTTGATTTGTATTATGTAAGTACCAAAACCGGGTTTTTGATTTTAATAACCGGTTATGGTTTTATGTTGGCAGGGAATCTTCACCGGAAATTGTGGTACGAATCTTGATCACGCGGTGGTTGCGGTCGGGTACGGGTCAGAGAACGGTGTTGACTATTGGATCGTGAGGAACTCTTGGGGTCCACGTTGGGGTGAGGAAGGTTACATTAGGATGGAGAGAAACTTGGCGTCTTCTAAATCCGGTAAGTGTGGGATTGCGGTTGAAGCCTCGTACCCGGTTAAGTACAGCCCAAACCCGGTTCGTGGAAGTATCAGCAGTGTTTGAGAATGAAGACGCTCGATAAAAAATATTCGGGATTCTTATAATTGAATTAATCTCGTATTATTATTGTTTGTATGTATAGTTATTTCAACAGAAAAAAAGTAGTTGATTCATCATAAGGATATAAACTTTATAAATCCTTATGTCGATCAATTTCTTTTTATTCAAAGAAAGATTGCTTGTTTATGTATTAAGAGAAATATAATAAAATGATATATTTCTTAAGATTTCATTATTTCATCCGACGAAGAACATAAAAGAAGCATTGGTTTCTTCTTCTTCTCAACAACTTGTACATCTTTCTGCATCAGACTCTTGTCTGCTTAATTAAGCTTCTATGTCTCTCTTCCTCCATAGCTACCTCTATTTAAGACTCTTTATGATTCTCTTTTTTTTTTTTTTTTTTTTTTGCTAAGAATGTAAATATTTCATAAAAATGAAAAATATGAGGTTTACAATCAATGATTTTCAACCTAAACAAATGGTTCCATGGCAAAAAAGATAAAAACATGGAAGCATAAAATAACCACTATTTTCGGTCCATCCACTCGACCATAGCAAAGGATACTACGGGAGATAAATGAAGCGATAGACAATTTTGTTGTTCTTCCTTTGAGAGCTGCAAAAGGAGAAGGGCAAGCGCAAATTATGATCGCCGAGCTGCAGAAGACAATAAGCTTTAGAAGCCTTTCACAGGAGGTCCGAGACCGAGTTGTCAACGGAGAGGGACTCCAAACCCTTGCTCACATTCCCTCCCCTTAAATCTTGCTCTGCGCTAGCTAAAGAAGAATTCTCTTCTTTAGCCTTTTTGCTCAAATTCAACAGCAACAAGAGCTTCAATCAGTCTATTGTTCTCATCAAGAAGTGAATTCTTCTCATCTTCTTCTTTCCCATTCCAAGCCAAAATCAATTGATCTGCTTCAATCCCAAGTCTCTCATCCGTGTGTTCTTGAGCAATTCAGCTTCTTTCCTCGGGTTTCCCTATTGGGCCGTAATGGGCTTTACTTGCTCTTATAGGATTTATAATTAAAAAAAAGGATGGAAAGAACTTTAACAGAGCACCAGCAAACCGGGTTTTTGATTTAGAATAACCGGTTTGGTTTCTTTTGGCAGGGAATTTTTACCGGAAATTGTGGTACGAAACTACGAATCTTGATCACGCGGTGGTTGCGGTCGGGTACGGGTCAGAGAACGGTGTTGACTATTGGATTGTAAGGAACTCTTGGGGTCCACGTTGGGGTGAGGAAGGTTACATTAGGATGGAGAGAAACTTGGCAGCTGCCAAATCCGGTATGTGTGGGATTGCGGTTGAAGCCCCGTACCCGGTTAAGCACAGCCCAAACCCGGTTCGTGGAAGTATCAACAGTGTTTGATAATGATGACGCTCGATAATTGAATTGTGGGATTCTTATAATTGAATTTAATCTCGTATTATTATTGTTTGTATGTATAGTTATTTCAACAACAAAAAAAAAGTAGTTAGTTGATTCATCTGTCATAACGAAATTGCTTGCTTGTTTTATGTATTAAGAAACACATGATAAAATGATATATTTGTTAAGAGCATTGGTTTTCGATCTTTTATCCAAATTAAAGTATGAACATAACAAAATAGTTAAAAGTTTCCATATTGTTCATTCATATCTGTTTATATCAACGCTAATAATTTAATACAATACAATGAGTTCAGTTAATAGTTAAAACCAGTGATTAGGCAGGTTTGAAGCCAAAAGTGTCTCCAATAGTTTTTAAATTCATCCTTAACAAATCTTCGAGAAATAGAAAAAAAAAAAACAAAAGATAGTTGCGAAATCAACACAAGTGTACTTAAAATTGATAACATTTTGGCTGTGAATATTCATTGCCATTTTTATTCTTTTTTTTATTTTTTTTTTGGACAAAAACCATTTTTATTCTAAAACGTGAAAACTTGATGAATTTTCTGTGAATAAAAGTAGTGGAATCATGAAAAAACTGTAATTTTCGGAGTGGTTTTTAATTTTGGTTGGTTGTTGAGAAACCCCATCCAATCAAGATTTTTAGAGAGTAGTTTCCTTTAAGAAAATAAGGAAACTAGTTTTTTTTAAAGGTTTATAAACCTAAATAACAAGGGCTTCTTATTAAAATAATGATCTCTTTATAATTTTGTTGTTGTTGCAAATATTTTTAATTTTTTTCAAAATCCAAAAATTAAAAGGCCAAAAATCAAAATCGAAAAACCAAATTTTAAGTGTATATTAAATTACTTTGAATAAATATAGACAACAAACTAACTAACGAATGAAAAAACTAGACACAATTACATAAAAATGGTTCCTCTTACGGCCCAATTGGGACCAACTCTGTTTGGCCCAACTATAATTTCCCTTATAAATTGTTTCGAAGAGGCCTCGTATCGTAAAAATGTAATTTCGACCCAATTGGCCCAACTTTGTACACTCTCTCTCTCTCTCGCTCTTTATCCGAGAAATTCCCGCTCCATCGCCGTCGCTCCATCTCCGTCGCTTGCTTCTCGTCTCTACACCAGAGAAATCTATGGCGGATGATTTGAAATCACTGGCGGCTAAAGCGAAATTGGTGCGGGCTCAATTGCGTAGCCATGGCCAACAAGTAGAACAAATCAACAATCCTCGACAGAGGGAGATTCTGAACACCGATCTCGAAGAAATGTACGAGTGTAGTTTTTCATTGGGTTGTTCCTCATGCAGCTCATCAATGTCTGCCAGGAGATCTGCTTCCTCCAGATCTTTGAGAAAGACTGCTTCCATATCCTCTACCTCTGGGTCTTCATTAGAATCCTCTTCAGTGTCATCTCAAATCTGTATTAGAATCTCTTGCGTTTGAACAACAAAAGTTACAGGTTTGATTTTTGATGCTTTGAAGCTTTCTTGTTAGGTTAGACGATCTTGTGTAATTGAGGGCGTGGATTAGGCTTTGATTGTGCACTATTTCTTGTTAAGTTAGACGCTCTTGTGTAATTGAGGGCGTTAGTTAGTTGATTGAGAGATGCTTTGTAAAACTGAAGGAAACATTCCTCCATTTGGATTTTGGATTCATTTTACGTTTCAGTCTTTCTTCCATCATCTGTCAAAAGAGTATCAACTTGGAGATTCTAATGCAGACTTGGAATGACATTGAAAAGGATTCTAATGAAGACCCAGAGGTAGAGGATATGGAAGCAGTCTTTCTCAAAGATCTGGAGGAAGCAGACCTCCTGGCAGACATTGATGAGCTGCATGAGGAACAACCCAATGAAGAACTCAATGGTGATGTCGATCTCGATGATGCCAATCTTGGTGATGTTGATGAGCTTCCAGTTGGGCCTCTAGGTGATGGATTCCCCGCTGAAATTGACATTGAGAATGAGGATGAACCCACTGACCTTGGTGTTGAGATGAGGATGAACCCGTAGATACTATAAGAGGTACGTAAACTTGAGATCATATAGGAGGTACGTAGATACTATCTAGATAGCATTGCACATTACATCAGGAGGAGTGTTGTTGTTATGAACAAAATATCCCATATTAGCAATATATTAGGTACAGTGTTTTTACCAACAATATGCAGTCTTTTTACACACGTAGATCATAGGAGTTACAGTGTATTTGCTTATTCTTTTTTTTTTTGGTTAAAAGAATTTTGTTACTCAAGCTTCTGTGTCTCTTTTCTTCCATAGCTGCGAACCTCTATTTCAGGCAATAACTTGTTCAACTTCTTAATATTGTCATTAGCCACAACTTCATTAACCTTCACTCTTCCCATCTACCCCAACATTCGCTTCAATAATCAATCTCATGTTTGATATATTTCTAACGTTATTACGATTCTCTTCTTTAGCCTTCTTGCTCAGATTCTCATCAGCGACAAAAGCTTCAAGCAATCTATTGTTCTCATCAACAAGTGAATTCTTCTCACTTTCTCCAACTCTTTTTATACAACTCACTGAACACAGATTCTTCCCATTCCAAGCAGAAAGTGATTCTTCTGCTTCAATCCTAATTCTTGAGCAATTCAGCCTCTTTTCTCCTTCCATTGCTGAGACTCTAACCTTGAGCTCTGTTCCTGCAATCACAAGCTGCTCTTTCTCTTTAGAAGAATTGTCTTTATCAACCTTTTGCTTTTTGCATGACTTATCAACTTGTTTGGAGGACTTTCGACCAGATTTTGCAGAACCTTTTAAGAGTTTCGTCCTCTTCAGTTGCTAGTTTCTCCGTCTTAGTCCTTTTTGACAAGCTTTTCTTATCGGTTGACATTTTTATCCTCAGCTTTATCTCCTTCTTAGTCATTGTTGTTGTTTTCTTTCTCTGGAGCTACATCATCTTCTCCACGAGATTCATTTGTTCCTTGAGAACCAACATCAGCCTCACCATTTCCTTCAGTTTCAGTAGACTGATTTTGTTTCTTTCCAGAAATTTTCGCCTATCTTCTCCTCAGTATATATCCAACAGAGTTAACAGACATAGACAGTGAGTGTTTATGCAATCTTCTTACGAGACTTAAAAGCAAGCCACGCAAAGACAGAGAAAGAGGCTTGTAGTCATGAAAATGCTCAAACTAAGCTAATCTTAAAACTCACTATATTTAAAAATGCTCAATCATAAAATTCAGAAACGATTCTGTATAGTATGCAGAATATTGAAAATGAAAACACTTTAACAGAGCACCAACAATATGCATAGTCTGCAAGATAAAATCAAATCTTTTACACATATTTATCAAACAAGTTCAGAGAATTGTATCTGAACAAGAGCAAAATTTAATTAAAAGAAGGGATTAAGACATCACTAAAAGACTCTCAGAGAATAAGTATATCAAAACCACTTAAATTTGTGTAGTCATACAATGGAAACAGCAAACCAAAATCAACTCGGAGACGAACAAATGACATAAGACAAGTTATTGTTATTCACTGCTGTAATTAAAACAAGATTTATAAAATACAGTTAAACAAGGACTGAGGCCAGAGTTCAGAGAGAGACTGAAACAGAATGCAAAACCTTGTAGCGATCTAAGAAAGGATGTTCAACGGTCATGACCGCATTAGACCACTGAATATTGCCCCAAATCTCGGGTCCTTGGCGTTGCTCCAAGGAAATCTCAGCACACCAAATGTCAAGACGATCCCCCTCGACGACGTCCCAGAAGAGCACAATATTGGGACCAGAGAAGCTCAGTCTCGCTCCGGGAAGTAAATCTATGAGATTTTTGTCCTTACCAGTCTTGATCTTTTCGGACTCCCACATAGCCACTAACCTGTTATCAAAGGGGACCAGTCTGAAGCGAGAGAGACTCTCTTTCAGAGATCCCAAACCCTTAACATCCCTCCAACACATTTCCCCTTGTTCAGAATCTAAATGCCCTGGTTCATACCAACACAAATTCCCTTTGCAATCAATGGAGTAGATGAATTTACCAATGTAACACCAATCCCTTCTGGTTTTTTTTCGTGGAGGAGTATTCCCTAGTCCCCATTTAATCTCACTGGGCGAATAGTAGAATGTATGATCAAATCCATCCACTGCGTAAACCTTTTCCTTCTCATCCATCAAGACAAGACTATTGTGGATATAGTAAGACCGTATCGTCTGATCCGGCATTGGCAAAGATTCCCAAGTTTGAGTCTTTGGGTCGAATACCTCTGCCCAGTTGGAAGAATCCCGGTCTCCGCAGCCTCCCAACACGTATATCTTCCCGCCTACTACTCCGACCGCCGGGGAAACTCGACTTACTCCCATGGAAGGGACTCGGTGCCACTTGTGAGTACGGCAATCCAGGAGTCGGACAGCTTTAGTGCGCCTCCCCTCTATACGTCCACCGATAACATAGATTCCCCAGTCGACCGCCACCACGGAAGATGCTTCCGGAGGCTGAAAATGCCACGAAGGGATCGGAATCAGAAGGCGATTCGCAGATTTACCACGGCGGAGGATGAACCAGCGTGGGGTTTGGTCTGGCGGGGTGAGCAAGCATAGATAGAGGTAATTCTCGGCGCAACTCAATAGCGATCTCGTTCTGTAGAGATCAGGAGAAGCCACTAGAGAGCGATAACTCTTGGAGACCATTGACAAGGCCGCCTGGTCCGATCTCGATACTCGAGCCAAGCAGCTCATAACCATGTCATCTGACAGCGACGATAACATCGACGGAGGCGGAGACATCTTCCTCTTTTTATGCGGTGGCTCTTCGGCGGACGCTGCTGAATTCGACATCGATGACATTCAAAGGTTTGTCCTTTTTTCTTGGTTTGGTTTACGCGAGGAGAGAGAAGTCAATCTTCTGCATATTTTATATACGGAAAAATATATAAATATTTCCATCTTTAGATAGATATAGGTGAGATTTTCCATTATTTATACGGGAAAATATAAATATTTCCTTCTTTAAAGACATTATTATTAAGGTGAGGATTTTTAGGGAATAAAAAAAAAGAAGGTAATATCTTGAAGCAAAAGTAAATATTGCTAAATAATTTACCAAGTAAATTAATAAATAATTACCAACTATCATTGTTATTCTATTTTTCGGGAGCAAAAAACAAAATTTACTGTATCTCGAAGGAAAAGTAAAAAAATGCTAAATTAAATTACCAACCGTCAATTTAATTTTCCTTTTTGATTAAAAATATTTTATATTTATATGTTTGAGAAAGAACTACATAAATGGTCCAACAGCCCATTTGTTTTGACAAAAGTCAACCACATGAAACTAAACCAGAAGAACCCATCAATTTGAAGCTAACCATAACTAAGTTGAAGGTTAACGTATCTCTTTAGCAATTCAATGTCAATGAGCTTTTTATTCCTCCAAAGGAGTTCAACCATTTCGATTTCTTCTTCAACCATAAGGAATGTTAATTTTCCCATCACTCGTAACTTTACAATAAAAATGGATTACTTATGTTGGGAATCGAATGTAGCAAAGACTGGAATTACAAGTTTTTATACATTGAAACAAGTTAGCAACGCGATCAAATTTGACTAAACTATGACTAATTGTATCGAACCGATATGAGCTAATAATGGAAACCAAGGAGGTTTAATAACAGAGAAATTGTGAGGGAATCTTTTAAAACAACTTTCTAACATTAGCCTCTTTGAGATCGTTTGATGTAATAGACAATTATAGACAACATTAAAATTGAAGCATTAGAAAAGGCTTGTCCTACCACTGTTTCTTCTTCTCAACAACTTGTACACTCTTGTCTACTTAAGCTTTTGTGTCTCATCTTTCAAATTCAAATTGTCAGCTCTCGCGATCACGGCTGCTTCTTTCGCAACATTAGCTTCAATAATCAATTTCCTGTTTAAGTATATCTCTAACCTTATCAATTATCATGATTCTCTTCTTTAGCCTTCTTGCTCAGCAACTACAAGAGCTTCAAGCAATCAATTGTTCTCAATCATCAACGACAAGAGCTTCAAGGAACCTATTGTTCTCATCAACAAGTGAATTCTTCTCATTTTCTCCACTCTTTTTATACAACTCATTGAACACAGATTCTTTCATATTCCAAGCTGAAAGTGATTCACCTGCTTCAATCCTAATTCTTGAGAAATTCAGCCTCTTTATGTATTTCCATTGCTGAGACTCTAACCTTGAGCTCTCTCAAGCTGCACTTTCGTTTGGCTACAATCAGTAGCTATACATCTTTCAAAGCTAATGCCAAAAAATCATCCATAGCGTTCTTGCTCGTCATCTCTACATCCAAAACGATTTCATCTCTTCTAACAAATCAGATCGATACCCTTAAAAGAGAAAGAAGCTTGTGCAGCCTGATGAGCATGTGCGATGAAAATGAAATGCTAAACTTTCTAAAATTGATTGTCTTATAATTTATAAATTCGATGATAATATTAAGGCAACAAAAAATGCGTATCATCTCAGATGAGATTTATAATTTGAAGGCTAAAATATGGCTTTAGCAAATTCAATCAATGCTGGATTTTTTTTATTTCTTTCAAATTTCAACCATTCCGATTTATTCTTTAACCATAAGGAATGATATTTTTTCTCATCATTTGTATATCTATCGTTAGTAACTATTATATTCTCTTCAATGAAAAAGATTATTACTGTTATGAAATCAAATTTCGTAAACAAAAACAAGAAATACAAATTTTTATACAACGAAACAAGTTAGCAATAAAATCAAATTGACTAACTAGTTGTATCAAACTGATATTAATGTCCGTAATGGAACGATGAAGACTTAATAACAGAGGAGTTAGGATGGAATCTTTCAAGAACAGCCAAAGATTCTTTCATCGTTGGCCTCTTTTGAGGCACAGGAGATGCACAGCTATACCCTAACTTGAAACAATCGAGTAAAAACTCTTGTTTGCCATCTAACTCGCCGCGGATAGCCACATCAGCCATTCTCACTGCGCGGTGCCTGTCCTCAACCGTCAGTCCATTTCCTAGCACAATCTCTTCAACAGACACAATCTTTCCCGTGAGAAGCTCGAGAAGGATCACACCAAAGCCGTAAACGTCCCATTTCGGACTCGGTTTTAGGCTCCGGAAAGACTCTGGTGCGCAGTAGGGTGACATCGGCCCCACCGAGCTCGGACTCGGGCTTGGTGTAGGCCCCATAGACGAGAATTCTCGCGATGAAGTTGTGTAACGCTTACTACTAAAAATCCGAGAAGATCCACCAGCTCGGATGTAACTCGTTTCACCTGTGAGAAGCCTTTCGAGTCCGAAATCGCTTATTTTGGGCTCCATGTCATGGCCCAAAAGTATGTTACTAGGCTTCAAGTTTCCATGCACATGCTTCTTCTCGTGGAGATAAGACAGCCCACGTGCAATGCCCTTTGCTATCTTGAGCCGAGTTTCCCATGGTAGGTGATACGGCGAAGAAGAGCCTCCTCCTTTTCCTGCCCAAAAACACACTCAAAACTCAGCAAACTCATACACACACATATGCAAGATAGCACTAAGACATATATGCGCGCTTTAGCAAACAATTTTAAAGAGACAAAACGTTAAAAGACTAACGGTAACGGGGGTTGACGAGGCTGCCGTTAGGGACAAAATCGTAAATGACCAATTTCTCGTCGGTACCCCAATAGAACCCACAAAGTCTAACCAAATTCGGGTGAACCAATTTGCCAATGGCTCGAATGTGCGACTCAAAATCCTTAAACCGGCGCTGATTCAAACCGTTCTCACCGAGCCGACGAACTGCGAAAACCCTTCCGTCTTCAAGAACGGCTTTATACATTATACTCGAACCAGTGGCTCCTAAAATATAAGCTGAAGCCTTAAGCAGAGTCTCAATCTCCATCTCTTTCTCTCCATCAACGGTCACTAACTTGTTATCTCCTGACCGTTGATTTGCATTGTAACCGCTTTCTTCGTCTTCATCATTATCTTCTTCAGACGGCGTCGTTTCAGGATCTTTTCGTAGACACGACCATTTCTTGAATCTTCTTGATTCTTCTGGTGAAGAAGAAGAAGAAGTAAATGGTGATAGCGTAATTGTGTCCGTTTCTGTTCTTTGCTTGTCGTTGTTATTATCCACAATCTTGTTCTTCTTGCATCTGTAGATGTAGAGGAAAATTACGGCGAGGATTCCGATTCCGGCGATATCCCCGACTACGATTCCGATTATAACTCCGGGTCGTAACCCGGTTCGGGCATTTGGGTCGGTTTGTTGTGATTTTGGATCGGTAACCGGGTTTGAACCGATTGTGTTCGGTATGGCGGCGATTGCTGGTGTAGACGTCGGCACGTCGGCGTTGGAGGCGATTGACGGCGAGGAAGGGATAAGACACGGGTTACGGGTTGGTTCACCGCATAGACCCGGGTTTCCTGAAAAGAAATTCGATTCCTGGTTAAAGAAAACCGGAGAATCTGGTATTGGACCGGTTAAGTTGTTGAAGGAGAGATCAACGGTGACGTTTCGGGGGAAATTGACTCCAATCTCCGGTGGAATTTCGCCGGAGATTTGATTAAACGAGACGTTCAAGTACCGGAGACTATCCCCGCCAAAATCAGGTGGTAGCGAGCCATTGATCAGATTCGACGATAGGTCTAAGAACTCAACAACTCTCCAACCGCCGGGAATTTCGCCGGAAAAGTAATTATTCTCCAAAGAAACCACCGTTAGGTTTCTCAATGACGCCAAATTCGCAGGTAACTTTCCCGCCAAGGCATTATCAGAGAGATTTAGGGTTAGAAGATTGTGAAGATCACCAATTGCGGAAGGGATTTCGCCGGAGATCATGTTACTAGAGAGATCGAGGAAACGAAGCTCTCTAGCGTTGAAGAAAGAAACCGGTAATGGCCCATTGAAGGAATTGTTGGAAAGATCGAGACTTTTAAGTGTTAAGAGAGAACCCAAATCAGAAGGAATCGAACCAAGAAGTTGAGAATTGGGAAGAGACAAGGTTAAGACTTTAGAATCGTTGTTACAAGAGATTCCTCTCCAAGAACATGGAGTTTCGTGTTTGTAGTTCCATGTCTGTAATAAAGACAGAGGATCAACAAGAACAGAGGATTTGAACTTCATCAAAACCAATCCATCAGAGTTCAAACCAGAGGAACTCAAAACAGAGCAAAAGAAGAAGAAGAAAACCACTGAAATCAACTCCATTTTCATGGCTTCATCACACTAACGTGACAGATAGAGAGAGAGAGATATGAAGAAGAGAAAGAGAGAGAGGTGTGAAGAGAGTTAAAGATAGAGAAAGAAAACAGCTCACGTAACCAAACACTCCACTTCCTGCTCCCTAAATGCTCTCTCTCTTTCTCTTTCTTTGTGTCTCTGTCTCTCTGCAAAAATATTGCAGAGTTTCTTTAATTCTATAATCAATACGACTACACACTTCTTGTTACGGTCTTCTTCATTTATTATATCAAATTGTACTTTTTCTCTCTCTCTCCTCTCTCTTTAGTTAGTGAACCGAAGAAACAAGTAGATAGATTCTTAGAATTAGTAAGCTACAAGACATTTATATCATATGCAGGTAAAGTTGTAAATTGTTTATAATTTTCTTGAGTTTTTGACTTTTTTACTCAGATTGTTCTGTTTTTGGTTCACACAACCAATGTAGCTCGAAGGAATCTAAATCGAATATATTGGATGTTTTAGAATTTTAGAAAAATAAGGCATGTTTTTCTTGTTTTTGTTTTTCGAATATGGTTTCGAATGTCTCTGCTGGTTTCCATTTTTTGGGGATTTTTGTTTCTGTTTATGGATGCATTACAAGTATTTTTAATCTGTAAATGGCTTTCATGTGCTGCTTATTATTATTTGTTTTTCACTTATTTGATTACGATTTTTTGTAAGTAGAGAGTTATTTCAATCGTCCGGAAGATTCTGCATTCAATTTATGTACGAAATAATGATTTGTCGTCAAGCTATTATGATTAAATGGAGGGAAAATAAAATATATACTCTCCATGAGTTTTATAAGCTGAACATTCTCTATATGATTAAATGGAAGGAAAATGAAATTATCGATGTTATAAGCAAAAATACGCATTTTGCTTCGAGGTTATAGAATGCTAACAATTTGAAGATCAATAACATGTTTTGGATATATTGAGTTTGGATAAGCATGATTCATGAAGTTGGTAAATTGTATTTATGGCATCCCTGGAAAAAAAAAAAGTGTAAATGTTTTCAATAATTGGATTTACGAGTGCACACATGGTCCATTATAACTCATCATTATAGTCTCTTATTATTCCCTTTTTTGCATTCTTAACAGTTATCTTTTGTAAAAGTTGGAGGTGATCTTTACCCACTTCCTTATAAAATACAAAATTTGAGTTGAAAAAGATTCAAAAAAGTTGATGAATTACACTTTAATTATAATGAGTCCAACAGTAAAAGCCACAAACCCAGCCTTGTTTGTATTATGGTGGGCCACTAGTTTTCATTAGATTAACTTTTCCGAAATTATAAACTACATGCAAATGTGCAATCATAAACTTAACGACATAGAGAAGAAAATCGTTACTAGATAAAATAATCCAATAACTTAAGTTACTTAACAGCCCATTTTAACCTTCCAATCAAGCATAGTGTAGCTCTCCTGCCAGAGTTCACTAATGCATCTATTTGTGTTAGGAATTTAAATAACAGATATCTAAAAAATTAGTAGTCATAATAAAGTTGGTTTTGTTGACATTGTTGTAAACTTATATTTTGTGGATATTGGGTTCGTCTATGCTTTTAGGTAAAATTGAAATTAAAAAAAAGGCACAACAAATGAGGTCAAATCAAATGATTTATATAATTTAAAGGTTAAAGTCTCACCTTTAGGATTTCAATCAATGCCATTCGATCTTTCGCCATTTGGCTTTTTATTTCTCTCAACCATTCTATTGACTCTTGACATTGGAACTAGGAATTCTATTGCTCCTTTTAAGTAAGATGCAAATGTATGAATTGTAAACTTAAATTTTTGCCTAATCCATGGATCATGTTCCTCCTTATGTATTGTATATGCTAATCTAGCTATGTTTCCTCGAGTTGGGTTGAAAAGAAGAAGAATTTGCTTGCCATTGACTCCTCTAGTTGACTTTACATTTCCTTGTTTTAAGAAAACAACTAAATTTATATCATATGTTTTTTGTCACCACACTATACAGTATACAATTATGGAACTCATAAACTTAAATCATAATGACGATAAACAAAAATTGTATTAAATATACAAAACGTATATTTTGTGAAACAAAAACTAAGTCATAAAACAACTCACTTTTGATCAGGAAAAAAAAATACAACTCATACTATTTACTTTCCTTCGGCCATTGACTTTGAAACAGAGATGAATTGTCATTTTGTTTTGGAGGTGAAATGACAATATTTGATGATATGTGATTTTGTTTGGAGGTGAAAGGACATGATAAAATGTTGTTACTCGAAAGCAAACTAGCAGGGGACTTAGGCTGAACGAAACGTTTAGAGGCCCAAATACAATCTTAAAATCTTCAAATGTATATGGGCCTTTAAGGCCATTCTTTCATTGATATAATTTATACAAGGAAATGTGGTGGTTGTACCTCGAAAGCTAAATCGAAACTAAATAAAACATTCATCATCTATAAGAAGAAAACAGGAGAGAATAATGATGTACTTGAAAGGACGAACGGTGACTGACATGTAACCAAACCAAAATTACCCAAAATATTGGGCTTTTAAACCTTACAATCTTCACTACGGCCTTTCCTTTTTGTGCTAATTAATTTACTTTTTTATTTTCTTGTTTCCGGTGGACTTTTTTGGTCTAAATAAAATCTTATTTTATTACCGATATACATTACATACTTTTTTTTTTTTTAGTGAATGATGTTAACTTCGGCGAATGACGACATCCGACAGAGTCATTGTCAGCTTTATTCCCAAATTATCAGTATAAACTATTTATTAAGTGGACAATTTGTTTAGCGGGAAATTGGAACTAAAGGATAAATATTTAAGTATTTGTCCATATATGAATTCTATGAACAAATATCAACTATTCCTAAACTACCATTTGCATAAGATTGAACCAATTGTTTCAAAAATAATTAAGAAAAATATGTATTAAAATGATAAAAAAGACATGAAGATATATAAAATTTCAAAAATATATTGTTTTGTTTTCGTTTTAGATGGATAAAATTTGATCTATAAAGTTTAGAATATGCCTTCTGAAATTAGAATGTATATTCTATACACTCTACATGTTCTACAAAATTTAGATTATGTATTCTACACACTCTACATGTTCTACAAAATTTAGAAGTCATTTATGTTCTACGGTATTTAGAATACTAGTTTCTACAGCTTTTAGAATACATATTCTATACTTTGTTCTTTGTTCTACAAAAATTAGAATATGTTTTCTAATATTTACTCATGTTCTAAGAATGTTAGAAAACATATTCTTAAGATTTTTTTTATTCTATAAAAATTAGAAAGTACATTCTATCTAATTTAGATTTTAAAAAAACAATATCTTAAAATATGGAAATTGAATATAGTGAATTTGATTACATCTGCAAATTACAGAAGTTGAATTCTGAATACTTTAAAATTCTTTATACCTAAGTGAATAAATTATAACACTAATTAGAATTTTTCTTTATACTTCACACTTTTTCCTATAGAGTACGCTTAATTTCTTGTCTCAAAACCCGGAAAATTAGTTGAATTTTGAATACTTTAAAATTCTTTATACCTAAGTGAATAAATTATAACACAAATTAGAATTTTTCTTTATACTTAACACTTTTTCCTATAGATTACGCTTAATTTCTTGTTTCAAAACCCGAAAAATTATAGTTGCGCTCCATAAAGAAATTGAAATCAAGGGAGTGAGATAGAGGGAGAGATTGAAGAAGAAGAAGAAAAAAAAATTATTTAATATGGCGTTATTAGAGAGGAGAGAACAATTACGAAAGCTTAACTTTGATGAGCAAGAGAATCAAAGAAGAAGAAGATATGAAATTATCTACGGCAAAACAAATAATGGAATGTAAATATATGTTGATTTTGTCCTATATTTTTTCGAAATTGTTTTTAGAAAGAAATCAATTTAATTTTGAATTTTTTTAATAGTTTAGTAAGATTTTAAAATATTGGGGGCATATTGGGATTTTAATTATATGAAATCATATATGACCAAAATTAAAGTATATATGACCAATCATGAATATAGAATGCATAGATGGACAATAGTTTAATTATTTGTCTTTTATTTCCAATTTTCCCTTATTTTATTTAAGTCCCTTGCCATGTATAAACTCTCTAGACTTTGAAAGAAAAAAAATTACCTCTAAAATTTGTTCTAGATTGATATCACCTATATTTAAACGAGATATATATTAGTATGTGTTAGTTATACAGGATAAATAATATTCCTTCCGTTTCAAAATATAAGACGTTTTATTTAAAAACACGTCGATTAAGAAGATCTACTTTTAATAGTTTAGCCAATCATAAAAGAGACTAAATAATAAAAATAATTATAAAATATTAAAATAATATATAATTTACATATAAACTTGAAAACGACTTATATTTTGAAACAAAAAAATTTCTCCAAAACGTCTTATATTTTGAAACGGATGGAATTTGTATGCAATAAATATGGTGGTTTAGTGATTAAGTCTAACCTATAACCGCTTTTAAATCTCAATGATGCATTTATATGCAATAAATATAAAAAACTGATGTTTTTGTGAAACTTTAATGATGTAAAATTAATTAAATAACGGTAGTCCACTATCTCTGTGTCGCAAAACAATGGATCACTAACCTTTGTTTTATAGAATAAGTAAAGGTTCTTTATAAACTACTTCGGCCCGAAGCATTCGTCGTTTTGTTTTCTTTTAGTAAAGAAAGAGTCGAAAATGGCAAACCAAATTAGCTCAAATAAATAAAGGGAGGTGATAGCACGACGGGCTCATGCGGGGTACAATTACTACATCACCACTCTCATAAACTTTAGATACTTTCTGTTACATAATGAGTTCTATTACTATTGTCTTATACTATTTGCAACCGATATTTGTCAGAGTAAGATCCAATTTGTTCGTTTTAAACATATCGTTAATTTCACTAAAAACATATGTAGAGTGTATAATTTCAAATGCTTATTTTAATCCATTTCGTGGAAGCATTCATTTTACGGCGTATTTGTTTTCAAACTACTCCAGATCACTGTTTGATTTATTCAACGAATCTTCCTTCTTGCCCATGAATCAATCATGATGAATCGTGAAGGGTCTAATATCTAACACAAAGATTCGACACGTGTTTGAGAATGACGGAACATCTTGGCATGTATTCCACGTGCCCTTTTTGCCAACTGACCAATAATTTAAAATAAACACTCACTTTGGGGAAAAAAAAATAGTGGCCGGTGTGGATGAATTCTTACTGTTTTCTTTTGACTAAAATGTAAAATGACTTTGATTCTGCTGATATTGATCTAATGCATATTGTTGGATTACTAGAATTAATCGATAAATAGTCAGATGAAATATCAAAA